TTTTTTTTTTTTTTTTTGCTTTTAATAATTTTTGTCTTATTCTGTTTTTAAAGTTATTTTAAAAGTTTAATTTTTACCGAAAATGCACTTTTTTTAAGCAGAATTTTATTTAGAAGAATTTTATCTGTGAAATAATAAATCTAAAATTGTTCTCTTATTATTTTCGAAAGTTTTTTCTTTGAAGATTCTGAGAAAAACAGTCAATAATATACTGTTGCAAAAATTAGTTGTTTTTTGCTATTTTTCTTTACATTTTATTACAAATAAAAAAAAAAAACAATAAACTACAGTCTTTTTTTTTTTTCTTTTGGTTTCTAAAACTTTTTTATCTGCAATGGTTTTTTGACAGACAGTGATAATCGGTGGTCATAAAAATTTTTTTTATGGTTTATAGGTCATTGTACCGTACTTTTTTTTTCAGATTAGAAGAATTTTTGTATACTTTTTACAGTACTAAAATCTGCTGGTAATCGTTACAATAACTTTCCTAAAAGTTCATACATTATAATACTAATTTCGTTACTCTATTTTTCCTTGTTAATTTGCAAAAAAAAAGAATACTAATTATTAAATATATCGATGGATAAGAATTTCTTCCCCCATCAAAACTTTAGAGCATCGTTTTTTGTAATTTATTTAAATAGGTACAGTCTTTCTGAGCAAAAAAATAAATATATAAATAAATGAGATATCTTTGCATAAACAGTTTTGATAGTAAACAGAACAAAAAAAAAAAAAATTGGAGAAACTGTAAAAAAAGATCAATGAAAGGTATTTGTTTCGGGGCTATAATCTGATAACAGATTATACTTTAAAATACAACCAACGATAGAGATTTTCAGCTTTGATAAAATATATCGCTTCTCGTTCTTTTCTCTTCTACGTAGAGATCTTTTTTTTTTTTTTGCTTTTTTGTAACTCTGTTTTACTTCGATGACTTTTTTCTGTTTTTTCTTCTTTTATTCTTGTTCCTTTTCTGTTCAATTTTAACAATTTTTCTTTTTTATTCACTGAAAAGTTACTGACAACGATTGCCCTTTTTCAATGAAACATCACCCAAAACTGTCAAAGACCTACCTGTTGGCTCTCAAATTGCAAAAGCAAATCCGTTGCTTTTTGAGTAAGCAATAACAGAAAAGAGAAATTGATGTTTCTTCAAGCAATTTAGAATATAGAAATAGCTTCTAAACTAAGGAAATGAAACTTTAAATGACATCAACGATACACCAAAATTTTTGAATTTAGTTTTACAGCAGTAGCATTTTCTGATTAAGGCATCTTGATAAATCAGTTGGCATCTTCAAGAGCATCTAGTTACAACAACATTTTTCACCTGAGATTTCTACCTTCCTGTGAACAGTTATGGTCGGAAAAAAAGATTTACTGAGACCGTCCTTAAATTTTTGGTTCTTTTCTTTCTTTTCTTTAGGACAAGAAAGTATTAGCCTGAAAAATTTGCAGCAAATTATTTTAGTCAAAAATAAAGATTTTGCAGAGTTTTAAGAGGGTAAACCTTGACAACGCCCTGCCAACACTTTCAGCATTATCGCACATATTTTGGTCGATGATGTAATTTGTACATTGGTTTGATTACGTTACTTCTGTAAAGAAGTTTTTTTTCTGATACCTCTGTTTACCACTGCGGTTCCACGTATTTTTATGAGCTTATTGACTAATGGTTTATAGAAAGTTCACTTTATTTTCTTTTCAGTGTATTAAAGACTATTGTATTGTAGCTTACAGAGTTATATTTTTTTTTACATTAACAAAACAATATTATAATTATTTGATAGACGATCTTTTCTACAACAGTGATGAGTGGTGTTGATACTTCGTTAGTGCTTCAGAGAACGGCCAAACTTTGGTGAAAATGTGATTGCTGATTTTAACTTTTGTTTATTTCAATTTGCCGTATCACTTTTTTTTTTCAATCAATTTTAAGGTTACAGGAACATCAAACGTTATATGCTCATCATCTTTTCATTTCTCTATAAAAGCAGATAGAAAAAAAAGATATATTTTTTTCGTTTCTACGAAAGTTTTTACAAGTGAACATTATTTGACCGCCTATACTTATATGGTTACTAATTACGAATCTGATGGCAAGATCGCTAAGATCAACATTAAAGAAAAGTGAGATTTTTTTTGATTAGGAATGACTAGAAGATAAGCGGAACGTTGTTGTTGATCGAAGGGCGGTGTCTGTTGATATAAGAGCTGTATATTCTGGGTCTCCATGAGTTTTTGCGATGATTAACTGTACCTTAACCGGGGGTTTGCCATATTACGCCTATGTCATCGATATTGATGGCCGTATTTGGAGTGTATTTGTTAATCGTTATTCGTAATCATTGATAATTTGGTCAGATATATGTGTATTTGGAATCTAATTTGCTCTGATAATACAGTATTGAGTGCAATAGTGATATTATGTGTAATAGAAGTCATTATAGTTCGGGTAACAACAACGGACAGTAAGATCTAGATATTTCTAGTTTCTGTTACCATACCTATTTTTTTTTGGTTTCTTATTTTTACTGATTTCTATTAAGATCAATTGTTATACAGAAGATGAGGCAGCAGTTATACTTTTAGTTTGACTTTTTTTTTACCTCTTAAAACAGTTTTTTGGCAGTTACGGGTATGACGTTGGTGCACCGAATATGAACAGTTCATGCAATTTATGTGAATGGTATTGATTGACAATAGTTTTAAAGTTATTTTAGATTTTGTAGAGGTTTTAAAACGACTATAGGTGTATTATAAGTAATCTTATAACCAATTTATACTATCGTTATTGTTTTATACCAACTGTTAAGACAACGATAAGCCTTTTTTCTTCCTAATGACTGGTAATTTACGTTGAAAATCTGTTTGTTTTTCTTTTTTTTTTTTATTTTTGGCACAACAATATTTATCTGTCATCTGTTTATTTAAAGCAAAAAAGAAAAAAAAGAAAAAGAAAAAAAAATGTGGCTCTGAAGATGGAATCTGTAAATATAGTGTTGACGTGAATTCTATAAGAGGAGGGGAGGGAAGCGGGGAAAGATGTATATTGTTGCCGTTTTCTATA